ATTATTATGCTAAACAAACTGACCATTGACTACTGTTTATGTTGGCAGGGATGAATGCTATTCTTCTCTACACCGGACATATTCTTCTGAAGCACACGTTCCCTTGGAGTTGGAAGCCTAGTGACGTTACAAACCATGGAGAACTACTCTCGATGAACGTTGTTGGAGTTTTCGCTTGGCTTCTTGTAGCCTGGGTACTGGAAAGATACCAGATATTTGTCTCTATTTGAGCATTTTAACTATCGACTATAGATGCTGAAGTGTTATCCTGCTAGAAACAGTTGATTTTTTATTTTTAGGACACAGCGACTTGATATTTTGACTAATTTGAGACTGAATGAGTTTGCTGTAAAGATGGGTCAACATTTGACATTTTTATTGTTGTTTTATTTTTTTCATTCTGGTAGAACTCAATAAACACATAGGGAAGTTAATGCTACATATAACAGATATAACACTTCTTGCTCACTTATTCAACAAAGGTAAAGCAAAACTGTTTAAAGTAGTTTTATAGTTTTTTGATCAAGTAAAACTTCTTAAATCCATCATAATTTGAAAACAAAAATAGGAAACAAAAATGTTCATAGTAGCATAAAGGAAGAGCTATAAAAGTGGTTTACTTAGGCTATACTTTTTATATAAGACAAATACAATATTCCCAATCAAAAAACATTCTGAATTTAAATATAATGATTGGTGTATGAAATGAAAACATGAATAATCTTGACTAGTTTTGAAACTAACACACTCTATGAGCTGAGCTAAGCAGACTGAAGTGTTTGAAAATAGCCGTCATGATTGGAAAAAGTAATTTATGTGACTTTCGAAATTATTTTGAAAATTGGGAATATGCTAAATCACTAGGTACACTGCTTTTTTTAAGAACTATTTTGAGTTCAATGCCAGCACCATTTTTTATATTTTTTTTTAAAGAAACGGTCCATACCCCAGTTTATCAGACTCACCTGGACCAAAAGTTAATGTGATTTATACTTGGAATCTATAGTCTATGAATTTAACCAATGAGACTTATTTTAGCATATATTTTAATAAACTATTTTATACTGTGCTTGTTTGTTATACTTATCCAATCAAACTACTCTCCCAAACAGCTTCTAGAGGTTGTTAGTTGTATTTTTTTATAAAGTAGAGCCTTGATTAGGGGGTATTTAGGACTAAGTGTAAGGGAGAGCAGGGCTATACCGTACACATAAGGAAGATTCGTAGTTACATCGCAAATTACGAAGTAAAAGTAATGTAAACACAAGCAATATATAATTTAATTATTTGGCTACTGATTGTATATAAACATTTTGGAACTATTGCATTTTTTACATGAAAAAATAAAATTGGTAACTAAAAAAAAAGTTACCTTGTACGAAATAGCCCCGCGGGGTGGGGCTATTCCGTACAGGGAAGGGGCTATACCGTACAGTTCAAAAATCATTTGTTTAGGTTAGTAATTGAGCGGAGCGAAGCGAGCGAAGCTCTTATACTACACTCCTGCTTTTGTTTTACAAATACTCCTCCTGAACGGCTGAAGCGATCTGCACCAAATTTAGCACAATCATAGTGACCGACCATGGGAAGGTATAAATCTGAAATGGTACAAATCGGACTACAGGGCTTTTCTCTAAGTGAATTCAAACTTTTGGAAATTTAACATGGGCCTTATGGGTTAATTGGTTGCCATGACATTATTTGTGAGATAACAATAAAAGGTAAACAAGTGTCGCAATATATGTTATTTAACGAATCATACCAATAGCATATTACAAATACCGTACAGAGAAAAAGGGAAGAACAATCGGATTAATATCATTGAGTATAATTTACTACAAAATTAAATACCAATAATTATGGTCGGCGGAATAAGGCTGATGCACCATTGACTTTAAATAATCCAAATAGCCATTCCGTTTATGTGAACCATCTAGGCCTACATACAATTGAGTTTGAATACTGCAAGTAGACATTCCATTGACGTGAACCATGCGTACCATTGACTTTGGATACTGCAAATAGACACTCCATTTATGTGAATCAAATGAACCACTGCTTTGGATCCTGCAAGTAGACAATTCATTTACATGAACCAAATGCTCCAATGAGTTTGGATACTTCAAGTAAACAATTCGTTTACGTGAACCCGACGTATCATTGACTTTGCAATGGCGTACCATTGACTATGGATAATGCAAATAGGCATTTTATTACCCGAACCAAATGTATCATTGGCATTGGATACTGTAATTAGACATTTAAAATATGAGAACCAGATGAAACATAAACTTTGGTTTCTGCAAGTAGACAATTCATTTGCGTGAACCAGACTTATAATTGACTTAGAATACTGCAAATAGACATCCCATTTAAGTGAACCAAATATACCATTGACATTGGATCTGCAAGTATTTAATCTCATTTGCGAGGAATAGATGTAAAATTGACTTTAGAAAAGTATTGGATTAATATGCTAGCTCCACTCAATATTGCAAGCATACAACTGCATTGCACACCTAGTATAATACTACTGTAACAAATAACTGTACAAATACTTTTTATTACTATATAAAGGTTGTAGTTAAGAAACAGTGTATTACAATTTAACATTTTAGAAGAAATAAAATTTCAAAAATCAACCTTCATGAAAAACATGAAGTTTATGAAAAAGTTATAATATTTCCTCCCAAAATTAAAAGAAAGAAGAAAAAGTCCACAAATGTAGTTCTCTGCGGACTCCGCAGCACTGCAAGCTGAATGGACCCACCCTGAACATGAGCAGCACCCTGTACCAGAGCTGTACGGTTTAGCCCCAATCTGTACCTCGTGGGAATTTATAAACATACTCAAATTCTATCACTTAACCAATAATCGCTAATAACCAAAAGATAGCTTAAGGCATGTAGTTTATTATGATCTCACAGTTAATAGACTACGATAAAAGCTACTTCACTAACTTTATATTTAGTACTGGACGAAAATTAGAAGCAAGTGAGTAGAAACATGTTTTTTTACATAGCAAAACGATGCAGATACTGTAAACTTGCGCATTCTGCTGCTAGATAGCAGCACTTGTCGGTATCAACTAGCTTGAATTCTAGTCCAAAAAATGGGTTTAGCCTCGCTGTACGGTTTAGCCCTGCTCTCCCCTACCTCAGATAATCAAAAACTCTTATAATACAATAGCCTTCTTTGTCATAGCAAAATTTGAAAAAAATAACATGGCAAGTAGTGTACAAGTCGCATATATTTTGTCACAGTGTTAAAATGTTAAAAATTTTACTTTAAAGTTCCTAGGCGATACAATATAAAATTATTTATGAGTGGTATTTGCTTAACAGAATTCTTGCTGGCTTTGCCGCTGTTAAGTGCAATGGTTGTTGTACAATCAATTATCAATTATCAATTAGTTAAGATGGGGACGCCACTATGTGCGTATTTTAACCCAAATATGAGTGAAGGATGAGTGTAGGATGAGTGGCGCGATCTTGTAGTCTTGTTAGTGACTAAGGCCGATATGTTCCTTAGACACAGCTGTTAATTAATAGCCCATACAGCTAATGGCAACTAAGGGACCTACAGTTTATAGTGGAATCCGAACCACATTTTTCCTTGTAATTTACGAATTGGTCTAATTATCAGGATAGTACTGCGGATAGTCGTAGTACTCACTAGTGCGGACGTTAATCCACACCAGGGAGCATCGCATCCACAGTGCATCCCTATAAATATCCACAATTCGTACAGATAAACATACAACATGAAAGTTTTGTCCTTGTAACTTGAAAACTGATTGTATAGTTGGTTCATGAAAAAAAAAACTATATAATTAAATACAAGTTAAAAGTAGATTACATAGAATTATAACATGACTATTTATTCGAACTGCAAGCAGCCAATTTACAAAAATACAACTCATTTGTACAAGATGGCGAGATTTGTTACACAAATACATCCCTGAGCAACATCTAAACAGTTAGTGACATCATTTAAATTCCAGTAAGCCAGATGATAACTGATTGTGTGGGGTTAAACACTGAAATGCATTCTAATAATTTGATCCAATTGTTTGTGTATTATGAGTAATTTGGTCCAAAAACAGAATGGGCCTTAAAACCCTTCCCTGAGGAATACCTATACAATTAGTGTTTCCATTTCATTCCCAGCCAGCCAGATGAGAACTGGTTGTGCAAGTTTGAACACCGAAATACATTCTACTAATTTCAATTTGATCCTTGTGTTTTGGGTATTATGAGTAATTTTGTCAAAAAATAGAAAAGGCACCGAAACCATTCTCTGAGGAACACCTAACAAGTGTTTTCATTTCAATCACAGCCAGACAGATATGAAAACTGTTCGGGTTTGAACACCGAAATACATTCTACTAATTTGATTCTTGTGTTTGGTGTATTATGAGTAATTTTGTTAAAATATAGAAAATGCCCTGAAACCATTCCCTGAGGAACACCTATAAAAGTATTTTCATTTCAAAACCAGCCAGCCAGATGAAAACTGACTGTTGGGGTTTAAACACTGAAATACATTCTATTAATTTGATCTACATGTTTTGTCAAAAAAAATAGAAAAGGTCCTAAAACCATTCCCTGAGGAACGCCTAAACAAGTATTTTCATTTCAATCCCAGCCAGCCAGGTGAAAACTGACTGTTCAGGTTTAAACACTGAAATACATTCTATTAATTTGATCTACATGTTTTGTGTATTATGAGTAATTTTGTCAAAAAATAGAAAAGGTCCTAAAACCATTCCCTGAGGAACACCTAAACAAGTATTTTCATTTCAATCCCAGCCAGACAGATGACAACTGACTGTGTGGGTTTAAACACTGAAATATATTCTATTGGTTTAATCCAATGGTGAATTATGAGTAATTTTGTCAAAATATAAAGGTCCTAAAACCCTTCCCTGAGGAACAGAGATAGGTGAGAACAGATTTACACTGAAATACATTCAACCACTTTGATCCACTGGCTTAAACAGGAAGCGGACACAGCACCCATTTTGATTTGGCACATTATCACCTCCCCTCTGGTCTGATTGGATAATAGTCTGAGCTCAGTCTAACACCATGCATCTGCCACTCCTGCTGCTGTCTTTCTATACTCTTTCAACTCAAGGTTAGTCAGAATATAGTATATCTTACTTTGATATGGGAATTTATTAAGGAGCGAAAGCCCCGAAAATGTATTGTATTGATTTAGTGATTCCTTAAACTGAATTAACCATCTGACCAAGGTGGTTTTATCTGAACACAATCTTGAATCTAGGTAATATGAATTAAACATGAAAAAGAAGTTTTGTACAGCTGATTACAACAAAGGTTCAAAAAAAATACCCAACAAATTCCTTTAACATAAAAGAAACCAAATACCAAAATATCCAAGAGTAAATAAATTTCAGACAAGTCAAAATTAATCCAAAGGTTTGACTTTTTTACAATTAATCCAATGAATAGATGTCTGTTAACCTACCAACGGTCCGGTAGCTCTAAATTTTTTATATGTTGTCTAGGATGGTAAGTAGGCTAGGTGTTGCACAATTTCCCCCACTCCGCTAAGTTGCAATGAATGAATTAATTACTTTTTAAATACGGCTCAATAACAAATGCTTGTAGCTCAGGTGAACATTGCTCTATGACTACAGATATTGGCATTATGTAGGCTTTCCAACGAGCCTACTCCCATTACCCTCAGACGACCTCTCGCTGAACAGTGTGCTGCAGAAAATAGATCGGGTTTTTGCCGCACCCTGTATTAATTAATTAAAGGAATGCATTTTTTCATGTAGTCTCTTATTCAACAGCTAAATTTTGCATCTTAAAAATGATACTTTATATTGAATGAATCTAATGCTTAAGGACAATATTAGAGTGATTATTATTGTTAACAAAACCAATTACTATGTTCAATATTGGATTGTTCAAAAATGGGATGAATAACTATTCATTGACATCAATTGATTGTACAAGGAAGAAAATAATTAAAACTTTAAAATGTTTAATCCACTTACTTTTATAAAAGCTCTAGACAATTGGTAGCCTTTTGTTGATTAGAACTTTTTTCCCAGGATCAAACCCCTGCAACAATGTTGCTCACGCCTTCTATAGGAAACTTAAATGTCAACCAGAGATGGAGGCTTCCTCTTCCTGCCCAGGAAGCTACAAATGTGGTAAGGTTTGGGAATATTAACTTTCTTAATTTCTTAGCATCAACTTAAAGCTGAACTTTATTAACTTAAGATTAATTTAATATTAAGTCAAGCATTTAGTACAGTTGATTGCTGAATAAATTCTGTCTATTCAAGAGGTGCAAGACTAATGCTTGGTGGGATTTGAATACTTTTTTACTACAGACATAACAAAACTAGCTCAACAGAATGAAAAGTTCTCTGTCTTGTCTAGTTATGGTAACAACGTCCCAAGTGTTGTTCATCGCTGAAGGTGTCAATTTTACTAATCATATCTATCATCAACATACCTAATGCTAGTTTTTTTATCTAACTTTGTTATACAAGAATTAATATCAGAAGCTCAGAATTTTAGTGACTGCAAACAACCATTTTGGGACTTATCATCAATTAGCAATAAACCATACAATAGAAAGTTGAAAAGTAGAGAACTTATAAAATATAGTAAAAACATAACTCCAAGAAAGTACGAGAACAAACTTGTTGTTGAAGTTATCTTTCAGGGTTGTATAGGGTAATTTTTTATTGGTGCGGTTTTTAAAACTAAATAAAAAAATGAAAAACAACCTGCATTGACATAAAAATTCATTTATTTGAACTACAGTGTCATGACATTAACAATTAAAAATGATTTCTAGCATGTGGGTTCGCCCATTCCGTTCGCGTAGAAAGGCCAATCGAGAAGTCCAATTTTCGAATACTCTTTCCAGCAGCTGTGGTTGAATTCCGCCAATAACTCGACGAATGTTAGCTTCCAAGTCATTTAAAGTTTCAACGCTATCGGGCAATGTTACGGGACTTTATCGTTCCTCAGCTAAACGGAACTTGAAGTGGATGTAGAAAATGTCTGGTTCCAACAAGACGGCGCGACGTGCCACACGGCAAACGACACAATTGGCCTCTTGGCAGAAACATTTGGTGAACGTATCATCTCATTTAGAGGTAGTGTCAACTGGCCCCCACGGTCGTGTGATATCACACCAACAGACTTCTTTCTGTGGGGATAAGTCTCAAGTATACGCTGACAAGCCACAAACTTTAAATGACTTGGAAGCTAACATTCCTCGAGTTATTGGCGGAATTCAACCACAGCTGCTGGAAAGAGTATTTGAAAATTGGACTTCTCGATTGGGCTTTCTACGCAAACGGAATGGAGCCCATATGCCAGAAATCATTTTTAAACGTTAATGTCATGACACTGTAGTTCAAATAAATGCATTTTTATGTCAATGCAGGTTGTTTTTCATTTTTTTATTTAGTTTTAAAAACCGCACCAATAAAAAATTCACCCTATATTATTTTTAGAGACTTCTTCTATGTTTTTTTTTTTCTTAACAATAGTCTGAATTCATTTGATTTCTTGCAGATAATCTTTTAAAAAGAGATCCAAACTCATGTTACCTTTTTGGCAACCAGTATCCAATCAACACGACTGTAACCAGAGGTAAAGTTGATTTTGAGACACCCTGTATAGAAGCCTGCACTTGCAAGAAAACTGAAGAAGGGTGAGTTTTTGTTGTATTTTTAAATAACCTGTTAGCTCTGTGGATAATTCAGTGATTTAGTTATAAATATTTTGGTAATGTTTCCCCTCAACTTAAAATCACAAAATTGAAGTTATTTTCAAGCAATTTATCATTGGACACACAAGGACTGAAAAGCAAAACACTTTATTTGAGGTGCAATTAGGCCTATCGATTCCACCCGTTCTGTCAACACGGTGGAAACCTAAGCCAACTATAGTGAAGTTGGGTCTCTACCACCAAACCCTGCAACACAGGTTAATCAACTCCTCATGAGTTGTTCATCAGATCTGACCGAGACAAGATTCGAAACCCTCAATCTAAGATGTGCTCCCCTAGCCAGGAAGATGTTCTCTAACAGTGGATTACTAACACAAAACTAATATCAGTTGTCAATGAAAGAATTGAGCTTTGTGTTAATCTAAACCTTAGTCCAAGGTTTGGGTTTATGGCGATTGCTATAATATTTGGAAAATAAATCACTTAATACTCTACTCTACCATTATTTGTCTACACTTGACTAATTTACAGTGGCCATACCCATCACTAGGGGTGGAATTAACCTTCCTCACAAGCAGTGAGTATTACCATTGACTTTAATTCAAACTCTACACTAACGCTTGCTTCAGATTTTAAATTACAGCTTGATGGCTTCTAACCACAATTCCATTGTTTGCAGGGCAAAGTTTGTCTGCAGACTGGGTAAGGGTGCCAACAACTGTGAGCCCTTGCCTCAAGAATGTCGAAGACACATGTTTGAAGAAAGCCTCTCCTGCTGCAAGAAGAGTTTTGTCACTTGTGACAAAGGTATTCGTTGATTGCATCGGTAGAAAAATTCAGTTGCTTATTTTTCTTATGACTATTGTTATTTTTCCTAACTAATAACTAAAGAGGTAATCAAAATTCATGTTTCTATGGCCCTTGGGCTATTTTGTCAAGAGGATAATAGGTTTTATGTACCTCCGTCAAATAGTCCTACTCAACTACAAGACAAGCAAGCTACCTAATTGGTCAAGCAAGCTACTGAGCAATCTTAATCGTTGGACTAAGGTATGTACAATCTATTATTGTCGTAGAGAAAGGTCCATCATACCAAATGTCTTTGCGGCTCTCATAATGTAATAAAGCACATTTTACTTATTTTAGCAACTTGATGCCTTTTATGATTGGGTGTCTGTATATTTGGATTTTTAATTTGTTTGAATTTTGGATTTTGTAGGTGGTAGGAGTAAAAAGGGTTTAAATATATAAAAAGTAAAGGATTTGATGTTTTAAATTCAATTCTTTGAGACATAAACACACACTTTGGTGTGTAATTCAAGCTTAAATATGAATAAAGGGCAAGTGTAAAATGGAGTGAGATGATCTGTGTTTTTCCTGACTAAAACTAGCTTTTTTCTTAGGCAGGACTATTTATTGAAAGCTCAATCATCAATGACAACTGGGTCTAGTTACAAATCGTCAAAAGCTGTTCACTTTACTCAGGATCGGACTGGTGACCTTATGATTGATAGGCAAGCACTCTAATCAACCAACTTGCCAGCTATTTTGGACAGATAATACCGCTGAGACAGTAAATTAAAACACGTGGCTTATGTAAGCTCGATATTGCAAAGTGAACATGGAATTGAGTATATAATAGTGCTTCTCCAATCTCCACTGATTATTTTCACCTTAGAATATTACACAAGAAGTTAAAAAAAAAACAAATCAACAAGTCATATTTAAAAATAATGATCTTCATTGTAATGTCTGTTCATAGTTTCTGACCCAACCCACCGCAAAGAAGTAAGGTGTTCGTACAACAACAAAACTTACAAAGAGGGCGAGAGGTTTTTCCCGACAAGTGACGTGACTTGTACGCAATGCATCTGCGCAGAGGGTTTTAATGGTAGGTATATTTGATCATTCCAAAAACAATTGAAGTAAAATCCTTTTAACAGTTTTACTATTTTTTAAATGTTTTTACACAGACAATTATTAGTAAGTTTGTCAAACATTGACTACTTCAAAGGCCTTATGGAAACAAACTGTTGATTATTTAAGTTGTACATGTTCATCATCAGCTGGGTGGATTGTAGATTGTTGTGTAAAGATATCATAATTGTGGTTTGACCGAATGAAGTGCAGGGAGAATGACAACAAAAACTCTTCCATTTAGCCATCAAATGGAAATTAAAAAGGTGTCAAGTCAAGGCCACTTGAATTAAAGTGTTGTTTAAGATACAGTCGCCACCTGACATGTTGGCTTTGTCTCAGGAAGTATTGCCTCTCCGTTCTGCGCCCCCATGGACTGTCCCCTAGAGCTGTGGGGAGACACACCCTACTCCCTCACTAAAGGTTGCATCCCTGTCTATCTCAGTGCTCAGGGCTGCTGTCCTGTCATGTTTAGATGTCGTAAGTAGTTTTACACTCGTTAAGTGGGATTTTTTCTGATTACTATCTATCATGTAAGGTTATTTATTTTATTTTGTGCTTATGTATATCCAACACAAGTGGTATTTAACAATACCCATTGACGTCGTATAGCTGTCACAAAAAGTAATTTCAGATCATATTTTTTTATTGTACTACATAACTTGTAAACCATGTTGCTAATAATTTATAAGGATGTGGTACTAGTGCCTGTAACCCTTGCTCAGTAACTAGTGTTAAAAACAAACTTGAAGAAATAGCAAATGTAATAGGGGGTAGCCTACCTCTTAGTTGATAACTAAATAACTAATGGATGTAACTGGGAAGGTTTCTGGCATTAGAGGATTAGGCTATGTGATGTAGAGTTTACGTTTACAGACATTCAATATTAGCCTGATATCACAAGCTATTCTAGAACCCATTGCAGTTGTCAGTTGGCATCTCAGTGCACCCCTTACAAGTTACAACTAACCTACTCTGTTTATTGCAGTTACTAACATTTTATTTTGTTTGTTACAGCTAATTCTACTGATTCTGTTATAAAAGCAGACAAACCATCTGACAAGAAAGGTAATTGGTCTGTACATTTATGACAATATTTTAATCTAGTAAAATTTACTTAACGTATCCACTTAGTTTACATATTTTAAATTTACATCATTTAATATACTTTATTTAATTAAAAAAGCTAATACCATTTGACTTTTGGATACGGAAGTAGACATTCCATCCATATGGACCAGCTATTTTTATTTTATTATTTTTTTTTTATTAAAAAAGAACAGTCAATCATAGAGTGTGATGATGTCTGAAATTCAATTTTCTGCATAATTTTCGGTCTCTCAGATCATTTATGGTAAATGATAGATGCTATATCCCATCATAAATCATCCTATTAGTTTTATATTGTTAAAAAGCTGGCATATTCGATAGAAATTAGTAATTTACTTCACAACAATCGTCTGTTGACTCAATTCAACAAGGTCAATTTAAATCCAAAAACTAGCAACAACTTTATCATGTTGTTGGAACGTCTAGTTTTATCAATATTCAAAGCTATTACCTAATGAGTTTGCCTTATTTTAATTTGACTAGTTTATTATTTAATTTTGAGCCTTTGTTTTCGGCCAACCTTTTTAGAACTTAGTGTTGAAATCTACTAAACCAAACCAACCAGTTTAAAATTTCTGGGGGGATAACAATCTCTACTTTTACCCTGGCAGAGGGTCAATCAGAACAGTTAAGGACGGTTGAGCGGGTCTACTGTACTTGCAGTATCCAAAGTCAATGTTTGTATTCTTCTTTTGTTTCAGACCTGTCCTGCAAGTTTGGAGAGTTATTGATGCATGTGGGAGATTGTCTCTCCCAATGGTCTGAAGTGTCAGACGTTGAGTGTCGCTGTGACATCCCCCCGGTCCCAGTCTGCGTCAAAACAAACTCCGTGATCACAGCCGACATCATTCAGATGATCAACCACAACCATGAATACACCAGAGGGGACGGACACTTCGATTGATCATCCCACTGTTTTATTTTCCCTCAAGGAATGTTCCATTATCTCTTTAATAAAGACTTTTGTACAATATTGAGTTTGTTTACCATTGAGGACCCTACCAAAACTCATTCACATATCGTTTTTAGTTTTGAATCTATGAGCTGATGTGGAGACCACAATTTGAAATTGGTTGCACAAGCAGTTTGGATAAGTATAACCTTAGACATACATGCTTGAATTTGACTAAACTACACCTTTGCTTTTCAACAGGAAGAGGACATGAAAGAGTACAATATGGTTCTTCATCTGCTTTATGAAATAGTTGCACACATCCACCAATGGTTTTAGCAAAAAAAATTAGTTCCACCTAGTTTTTAGATAGATAAAATAATTTTTTGGATAAATTCCCTATAGGAAGAAGCTATAATAATGCTGTAGGTAGTCGGTAAGACCTAGTCCTAGGACTGATTTACCTTATTACTGCTCCGGTGCCCTTGGTACATGCACCTCCAATCAAAGACAGTATCGATGATGACTTTGATCTTGACGATGGTGGTTGTATTCAATTTCATAAAGGTTTTGACAGTACTCTGTCATAGTTGGGGGTCTGGGGCGGCTTAGACAAGGGGCCCCCCTCGGAGGGGGCCCTTTTCACATAAATATATATGTATTGTCACCATATACCTTTTGAGGTATGTTTTCTTAAATTTTGTACATTTAACATAATTATGGAAAGCATTGTTTTCAAGCAAGTGTTCTACATTGATGTCATTTTCTAAGGCTAAGAATCCTATTGATGATGCTATCGAACAACACCCCCGCCACAGCAAACCTACAGACTAAGCAAAATTTCCATGTACCTGGCTGGATTTCTACTAAAATATAGAGACGACAGTTGATAAATCACATTGTGAGTTTCACAAGTTGATCTACCAACAATCGGATAAACATTGTAACTTTGCTATCAAATTCAGTTGTACTACCATAGATAAAACATACTACTCATAAATTTGCAAATACCTACTACATCAGGGCTTGTGACATGGTTCACAGCCGGGTTTAGAATTGTTTGAAGGCCGAGAATTTTGAATTTTGGGTCTCACAATAAGCAACACATGTTTTATCTATGTTCTCACCAACATATTTTTTTAAATTTTGTGGCCTTTTAAAAATAACATGTGGTGGTCTGGAAAATCAATTTTCAGTACTGGGGGAGGATTTGATTGAATGCTACTTTCATTAATAATGAAATATGCTGATTCATTATATATATATATATATATATATATATATATATATATATATATTATTTTCTTGCATTTTTAGGGCTACTAATATAATAAAATTAAAACATATATAACAAAGTACCCTTTTAGTAATTATTTTATTTTTCATGACGACATGTTTCGGAACTAAGTCCATTGTCAAGTCATTTTTACCATAACCTCATTCTTTAAACTAACAAAATTAAAAATATAATCATATGTAAAAATAATAAAATATGTTAACTAAATCTTAATACATGTTGGTATTAATTTTTTTCATTATACTATATGAATGTTTTTCTTTCTTTCCTTAGTTTTTCAATTTTATCGTAGATAGGTTGGTTTAGTTTTGGAATCATTGTGTTGAGTATGTTGTTGGGGTCCTTTTTGTTGTGTATATAAATATTTAGCTCTTCTTTCACATTAAGTTTCTCACGTTCTTTTTCAAATTCTAAAATAGTTAGATTGTCTTTCATGTTTTTATAACTGTGGTCTGTGTTCATTATATGGTCGGCGAAGTTCGACTTCATTGATGTCTGATTTTTTGATTTCAATGCTTGTAGATGTTCCTTGAATCTTGTTTTAAAAGTTCGAGATGTTTGACCTATATAATAATTGCTACAGTCACTACAGTTTATCTTATAGATTCCTGATTTGTTGTACTTTTCGTCTTCATTATCTTCTGTGTGTTTGATTTTTTTATTGATTAATTGGAAAATATTGTTCTTAGTTCTGTAACTTACCCTTATATCCGAATTTTTAAACGTATTTCTTACTGCTTTAGTCATATATTTGTTATAAGGTATACATATATATTTCTTTTTCTCTTCATTTTCCGTTGTTTTATTTTGCTTTTGTAATTTGTTTTTCAATTTCTTCTTTATCATATTGTCTATCATTTTTGCCCTGTAGCCATTTTTCTCTGCTAAGTATTTAATGGTATTTTTCTCTTTTTTGAAATTTTCTTTATTCAAGGGAATATTAATAAGTCTGTGGATAAGTGAATGGAAAGTAGCGATTTTATGACTCCAAGGATGATTAGAATAGTATGGAATAATGATGTCTGTGGTCGTAGGTTTTCTAAATATGTTAAATGTATGCCTGTTGTTATTTTTTGAGATTGTAATATCTAGAAAATTTATTTGTTCTTTTTGAACCTCTCCTGTAAATTGTATTTTTGGAGATAGGCTATTAATATATTTTAGTAGATTATTAGCTTCATTTTCATTTCCTTTGAATAAACAAATTATATCGTCTACATATCTGTACCAGTATTGGATTTTATCTTTAAATGGGTTACAATCATTCATTATTTTGGTAGTTTCCATTTCTTTCATGAATATATCTGCCATTATTCCAGATAGAGGGGAACCCATTGGTACACCATCTTCTTGCAAATAGAAAGAGGAATTGTAGCTGAAATAGTTTTGTTTCAGTGTCAATTGTGTAAGCTGAATAATATCTTCAATTTCTTTTTTGTTTAATATATTTTTCCCAATTAGTTCTTTTCTTAGAATATTTAATGTTTCCTTTGTTGGGATATTTGTGTACATGTTACAAACATCAAATGAGATCAGTAAAGAGTTCTCTGGAATGTCTATATCTTTTATTCTTTCAATGAAATCATAAGTATTTTTAACATTATACCCATTATCCATATTGATACTATTTTTTATTTTGTTGTCCAAAAATTTTGATAGTTTATAGGAAGGAGCATTTTGAAAATTTACTACAGGTCGGATAGGTATATTAGTTTTGTGCGTTTTTGGTTGTCCTCTTAGTATTGGGGCTTTTGAGTTATTTGATTTTAGCATGTTTTGTTCTAGTTTCGTTAGACTTTTACATTTCATTATTTTACTATTAATTGTTTTTGAATATTCAATGGTTGGATCTTTGGTTAGGACTTTAAATTTGTTATCTTTCAAAAAAGTGTCTACTTTTGTTTCATAATCATTTCTGTTGATTATTACAACAGCATTACTTTTATCCGCTTTTGTTATCATTGAATTATCATCTTTTAATTTATTAGAAATAGATTTGATAAGATGTAAGTCTTTATTGGTTTCTTTTAGTGTATTTGGGTTAGATATATTCTTTTTAGTTTTGTTTAGTTCGTGTGTAAAACTAAATCTGATTGGATCTCTGATTTGCGTATCTGTTTTTCTTATGGCTACCTCCATATCAATTAGATCATTTTCTATGCTTCTGTTCTTATGATCTAAAGAAAGATTACATTTTAATTTTTTATTACTGGTACAGATATGTAGACGATATAATTTGTTTATTCAAAGGAAATGAAAATGAAGCTAATAATCTACTAAAATATATTAATTACATATATATGAATTTAAACGGAGGGTGTTTTTGGCCTCCGGGGACCTCAAAAAACGAAAAAGTAAATCGGTCTCGGGTCTAGGTCTTACCATGAGACCAGTGACGTAGCCAGGGGGAGGTCATGGGGGTCCAGATCCCCCCTTCCGGTCTTAAATATAATATTTTTTTATTAAATTAAATGTAAAATTATATAATGATACTGTATTGACGTTGGGGTTGATTATTTTCAATGCCAAGAGAGGAAACAAAGACCGTTTAACTTTAAGGGCCTATATTTTAAAAATTTTCCCGGATCCCCCTCTTTCACCTGGGGGGTATGGAAACCCACATGGCCCCCCAAACAACAATTTGAAATCCTGGCTACGTCACTGATGAGACCTACGGTAATATCTAATCCCTATATGGGAAATTTGCTAAAAAAGGTTGACGTTAAAAGTAACATAGACTAACCAGTAAGTTTTATCTATGGTAGTATCAAGATCAGGTTTTGTACCATTCCCTAAGGTAAAAGTAGACCTACCATTGCCGTTGAAAACGCACAAAATAAAACCATTTTATCAGGGGCCCATTTCATAATAAACTACAAGTTACAAGTTACAACTTGTAACTTGTAATTTCCATAAAGGCTAGTACTCACTAGGACACCCGGTCGCTTATCAACCGGCGACCTGGTTGACGAGCGACTAAGTTGATGATTGAACGTTTTATTGCTGGGTGGTACACACTAGGATACCTAGCACTTTCAACCAAGCTGGAAATCGATCAAAATTTGGTGGGATAGACAATTTGTTTTGTTCTGGTTCACGCTTAAGCCTATCAAAGTGTGAACCTAAATGACAACACCATGCCCCCGACGAAGAGGAAATAGCTGCCGAAGTTTTGATTATATTTAAAACTTATGAAGTAGAGAAGAAGAAAGAAATTGTTTAGAAGATTTTGGGTTAAAGGGTGGCTTTAACGTAGAAATAGTTACAGCCACAACGGCCCTCCTACGAGCTTTTCGACTTAAAAATCCTCAGGATTTTAAGAACTATTTACATATTTCAGATGACAGTTTCCGTCATACTAAGCAACCAGTGACACCCGTGACACCTCACATAGAAAAAAAAAGGACGTCAGATTGAGATTTTAGCATGGTTTTGTTTCGTCAGTTCATTTTTCGTTGTACTGCGCATGCGCTAGCCGTCTTTAGTTGATCAACTTGGTCGCTGAAGCGTACACACTCTAGGTTTTTGAGAAATCTGATTGCCCGGCGATAAAATGGTTGATCGGAAACCCCCAGGTTTTCGATACATGTCCGAAAACCAAAAAGTTGCCTGGCAACCTACAAATCGCCCTCAACCAAATTGACAGACACGTACACACACGGCGATATTTGTGCAATTTGGTCGCTCGTCAACCAGATCGCCGGTTGATAAGCGACCGGGTGTCCTAGTGAGTACTAGCCTTTAGATTTGCATTGGGCGATCAGCTGATTTACTAATAATATTAGTTTGTACTTTATTATGAAATGGGCCCCAGGAATCACTTTGTTATTCTAGTGATTGTCCATGAAGATATCTCTATATAATGCAGACTGCATATAAATATATTAACCATAGACTGACCAAAACAATTAAGGGGTTTTTATCATAGATAAAACATACTTTTATCTAGTGCTTTAACGGCTTTAGCTCTGGTTAGTCGTTAGTCAATGTCTAATACAAATTTTGTGATAAAGAAATACTCAGGGAACTTCTCAGCTCCATTAAGAAAAACCAACTGACAGTCTTTGGTACTGAGGAGAGAAAAAAATCTGAATATTTTAGTTGTAGACGTAGACGGCAAGCCAACAGCAGGTTGTCGTTGTCGTTATTCGTTCTCCTTGTGTAGTGGTGGTAGTGGGAAGAGTGGGGAGGGTGGACTAAGGAATTCGTTGACTTGCAAGGAATTTTCCATTGTACTGAATTTTCATTCTCATTTATCGTACTTCTCTTACTTTATTAAGTTAATATCAAATATGATGAATGAAGATAGGGATAGAGACGACGAGTCTGTGGGTGATTTCTGGTTAACTAATTGGGAACAACAGTGTATTCAACACCTTGAAAATGAACCTGACTATGAAGGGCAAGTAATAAATGACAGGGATTTAGCAACTCAAAAGGCATGGTGTTGTTTTCAAAATTCAGCAACTGCTATAGCACAGCTTTATAAAGGTGAGTTAACGCGTTTTATGATTTTATTATATTATTAAAAGCTTAAACGTAGGAGGGTACAGTCTCCATTTTGGATTCCATCTATTGATCACCATTTTATTTTTTCGTTTTAGATCGACTGCAAGATGTTCCAACATTATGGGTGCCTTTTCAAACTGCAGCTGGCTCAGTTGCTACTCTTTATAAAGGTAATAGGGTCAATGCTTTATCTTATATTTCTTAATAATTAAATTTGGGTAGTTTTAAAAGATTTTATACATAACCTCTTAGGCTATGTACCATACATAGGCATAGGCATACCATTGTCAATTCCAGCTGAGGTAAAACAGAAGCAAGGATAATATGTTTTTTGTAGGCCTAGGCTTACTCCTTTTTTAAAGTTTGTACCTAGCTATAGTTACTCTTTTAGGCCTAACTTAGTATCATTTAGCCTACACATTCGTAGCCTATATTAGAACTTAGGCTTACTGTGTAGTAGCCTTAGTCACTAAGTAACAAGACTACAAGATCGCGCAACCCATCGTACACTCATCTCCATTCATTCATACTTGGCTTAAAATGCCTACTCTGTATGGTCACCATTTCATTAGAAGTATTAAGTTAACCCTAGGAGTGGCGAGACCGATTTTCAGTAGGTATGTGCTTTGTGGAGTGGCACGCTCATTTTGGTGAATTTGTAAGGGAGTTCTTCAAAAATCTGTATAAAATTAGTATGTAGAGATAAACTATTGAACCGTATATTCATTTTGATCATAATAGTCAGTAATTCAAAAATGGTAATAAAAACCAATTTTAGAAAGGTAGATTTTTAGAAAAAAGTAAAAAAAAAGAAAATTTCTAAATTTTTTAATTTTTATTTCAAAAGCAAACACGTGTCACATGTAACGTAATTTTTTATTGCACAATTCAAAATAAGCATTTTGTTCAGAATTTATTCCTCTACATAGACAAATCATAATATACACAAAATAATTATTTTTATAGATTTACTAGCAATAATACCGTACGGAAAAATTGGAAAACGTAAATTTCTTCAACTACATGTTGATAGATCCACAAATGCCCTCTACTAATAAATCAATATGATAAAACCATACATTTTTTGAAGCCAATAATATTCTATATAAGAATAACTAAATAAGATAAGTAATAGAATATTTGGTTTTCACAAAAGCAAAAATGTAAACAAAACAACTGATCAGCTGTTATAGCCCACAAAACTTCACTAACTTTTATCCTATTTTGGATTACCTACACATGTATAAATATTTATGCAAAATAATGCATAAATATTTCGCCTAATACAAAATAATAAAAACTAAAACGAACATTACACTGTAAAATTAGGGATAAAACCCACACTTCGTCTTTGTTATCGGACAAAAACTCACAACGACGCCGCCATTTTAGTTTAGACGATGACAAGTGTTCTGTTCCTTTAGCTTTAAAAAATCAAAAGCTTCTATTTGTGTGACCAGCCTAACAACATTTAATTCTACTGTCCTTCGTCTACAAGAGTGTATATATAAAACGTTTTTGTACTTTTCACATTGTATATATATGCGATTTAGAAATCAACATTTTATGTCGATCCACCACATGAACAATACATAAAAATAGGCTATTTTACAAAAATTGATCATCAGCTGTTGGGATGAATTATGACATAATACTTTATACAGAATAAAAGATTACTTCATGCTTGTTGCAGTGGTACCACTTGCTTTTGTCAGAGACAAAAATTACGTCTGCTATTTATTTTTGAAATGACTCATCTTTTACGATTGCGCAACAAAACATGGCGTTCGCGAGTTTGCGCGTATTTTTCGTTTAAATGTAACTCATTATAAGATCGATATATTTATGTTATAAGGTTCATTCTTATAATAAAATGAAACTTCGAAATCTTATCTTTCCATTGGTATAAGAGTTATGTCATTTCACCGACTTTAAATGTGCTTAACATGCAACTGAAACAAACGTTACATAAATCGACATATTCTGTCGCCCGCCACTCCAGCGGCACATTTTTAAATCGACATTTTCTTTCGATCTGCCACTCCTAGGGCTAAGTAGGCCTAGCCTATAGCCTGCGAAATTTCATCGGACATAATGTTATTTTGTTTTTTACTTTGTTTAGACTTCCGTATCTGTTGGCACAAACAACCGAATGAAAATATCGATCGATATATCGAATATTCGATAATATCGTTTGGTTAGTTAGGTAAGGTTAACAGATTGGGCTTCGATCCTGAGAAAAGTCAGTAAGTGTAGCTTTTTGATGGTTCAAAACTGGGCCGAGCTGTTCCTGATCATTGGGCTTTAAATAAATTATCCTGACTAATGAAACCGATGATCTTAGTCAGTAACAAAGGTCATCACACACCATTCTACATTCATCCTTCACTCATATTTGGGTAAAATACACACCTAGGTGGCGTCCCCCTCTCAATGATTGATAATTGAATAATAATTGATAACCTAACCAAACGATATATCAAATGGAATAATCTATATTTTCATTCGGTTGTTTGTGCCAACAGATAGGGAACTCTACCCTTTACTTCTTCTTAGCTGTAGGCCTACAGATTTTTCATTCGGCCTGTGTTCATAAATTATTAAGCATTATTCAAGGATGGTTTGTGTGAAGTTTGGTGCAGATCCGTCAAAAGGGCTCCGCCCCAGAGGGTTTTAAGTGGGCCAATGTCAGACTTTTTGAACTACAATGATATAACTAGGCCTAGCTGTTGTGTGGCAACCGTTTTGTAGGTTTGAATTATCACAACATTGTGTATTAGTCAATAAGCATCTAGACTGCCAGTGCAACTCCTAGGAACGGCCGATCGGTAGGATCGTGGATCAGATCGAAAAACCCCCCACCACCGCTCAGTGCCGATGGCGTGACGTCAACCATTACTGCAACGATACTGAACCGAACTGAGTCATGAGCCTTTGTGGTGTAGTGGATAGCGTGTCGGGCTGATAATCTGATGGTGCTGGGTTCGAATCCCACTGGGAGCACTAACTTTTTGTCAACATTTTTTTTTCATATCAGCAAGTTTGGTTGGTTTGGTTAGGTTATGACAGTTTAATTTTATAATTAAAAGATTGTAAAATTGAATTTGAGACATTTTTAATTTTATTTTTAGAACAGAGCTATTTTTCGATTAGTAAACCTTCATTCGAGTTTATCATTATCAGCAAGTTTGGTTAGTTTGGTTAGGTTATGATAGTTTCATTATATTTAATTCAAATTTAATCTACAAATTATACGTTTTGACAGCAACAGTGATACAGATAACAATTTTCCGCGAACAGTTAGATAAGCTATGCTGATGCGCCGGTATGATCTGATCCACGATCCTCCGTTCCTCGGACTTGCACTGGCAGTCTAGACGCTAGTTATTAGTCATGATTTGAAATAGTGCCACAATGTTTCCACAGAGTCCAGCACAGAAAACTTTTTTTACTTTTGAATAAGTCCAAATATATTAAACCCCAATTCCAGCACACCTGTGCACTCAACAACATTTAAATTCTCCAATGTTAAATACATAAAAACCTTGATCAAAGTATTATAAAAAATAAAAGGGATGGCAATGCCTTAATATTTTTATCTTTTGTTCTATACCCACACAATCTAACATAAATCATTAAGTGAATAATAATCGTGCGTGCTATCTCAGGTATTCAAGCCTCTCAATTTGTCATTAACCCACCACATTTCTGTCATTAAAAGAAGGAACTCCAATAATACTAATGTGAAACTTAAATCCACCAAAGGTGTGCAACGTTACCAGACTGACGATTAAAAAAATAACACCAAAATTGATAGAAGCAAAAATTATCGGTGGTAAGTTTAAAGGAGAAGTCTTAATCCCAAGAATAAGCTACTATTGATTTGATCCGAATTACCCTCTGAATTTAAGCAAGTACAATTCCCTTTGTGTCTTGCTTTCGCAATCACCATTACAGTAGACTCCCTCTTATCCGGACACCTTTTAACCGGATATCGTTTAACGGTACAATACTCGGCGGAAATTACATCTTTTTTACAATTTAATTGGTGAATAGTAACCATAGCAACTTGTTGAATGTGTGTATAAAGAGAAACCAAAGAAAGAATATGAAGAACAAACAGAAAGAATAAGCGGTGTTTTACGTCGTCCATTGTTATCTTTATCTTATTTAACGACTTTTGTTATTAACTTTAAGACTAAGTACTATGTTTTTATGCTGTTTTATGAGATATTTAATGTTTTATCGACATTTTTCTGTTCTGAAACAACATGTAGTAGTAGCCTATGCTGACTAGGGTAGCAGTAGCTTACTAGACTTTCTACTGTTTTGTTCTTTACCTGATTTATTGCTGTACAGTGTTTTGTAATTTTTGTTTTGCTTGAGTAAGCTTGATTTTAAACTTACAGTTTTTATTACTAAACCAAGGTTATTACTTAACATATCACGATTGCACAATACAGTAATATTTGAGTATGATGATGTAAAATGCAATTTAATCATCGCATTATAACATTCATTTTAATACAGTATTACGGTAGGCGTTTTATGGGTATGTAATATAAAATGTTTATGTCATGTTGGATTAACCCTGGTTTTCAGTTGGTCTCCCTCCCCCCTATTACCTCGAATAATTGAGGTTCTACTACTTTCGGTTAGTCCGGCCATTTTTTAGTCCCAGTCCGGCCAGTAGTACGGTCCTGAGGTGGCCGAACTAGAGAGAGTCTACTGTATGTTGCGTGTGGTAGGTACGCATAAAAACTTATATATTTATATACACCTGATGAAAAAAGAAAAACCATTGTTTATCCACTGGCTATTAAGTAAAATATTATATTTTTATTTTTGGTATACACTTTTATTATTCATTGTAAAGAACAAATTACCATTTAAAATAATAGTTGTTAAGCGCATCAACGCGCGCCAGGTAACTGCTAGTATTCTATAATGGACTTCAATGTGATAATTTGCATACATCATCAAAATACAATTAGTAGGCTATTGCACAATCATGCTACAGTAATTCTGTGAAGTCATTAACATTGGTTCAGTAATAAAAACTGTAAGATTTAAAATCACAGCTTTCTTAAACTTTTACCCAAACAAACATATTCCCAAACATTGTACTGCAAAATAAAGAACAGAACAATCAAAAGTCTAGTAAGCTACTGCTACTGTCCGGGAGAGTAAAGAAGACCCCTGAGCTCCGGCCTATTCGTAGTTTGAAGGCGTTACGCATGAACGTTTCGCGGGACAATTAGAGCCGTCTTCACGCGGTTTGCCGCGTTCATATTAGGTAACACACCATCGACGTCTACACTTTGTCAACATTTCTGGAACGTTAAATTAACGTTTTGTTTCTATTGTCCATCTAAGTTTCGTCCAGATAGAAAATGTTCCTATTTTGTTCCCTTAGCTATTTCATCCCTCGCAAATACTTAAACCTCCATTTCATAATGTCAGGCCTTTCAATCAAACATTTTCTTTTGGAATCGCATTTCTTCCACTTTCACCCCATATCTTTTAAAAGACGCCGAAGTGCCCGTTTGATCCATTTAAAATTAATCCTTTCTCTCAAAGCAGGTAATAGTTATTTTTCGCTACACTACTGTGAAATGACCTGTTTTCGTTCCATGTTTAATCACCTGCGAAAATCCATAATTACATTATTTACTGAGGCAAAAATAGTGTTTATCTTTTTTAGATTTTGCCGACGTAAACAAACAAATATTTCGTATTGCTTTAACAACTGTTTCAATTTTAAGAAAAGTAACGTTCAAAACACGAGTGAAAGTGGGTTTATACATATTCTCGACCATTTAAAGTGCTCGATAAATCTTGCACTTTAAACATGGTTTCAAATATGTAATGACACACTTTCTACTCTTGTTATATACTATTAATATACTATTACATGTAGGTACTTTTTTTTGTTCGTGTAAAAATCGCGTATTACATCTACGATTACACGCCTATCAAAACTATCTATTTGTCCTTTATGGTGGTCAGCCTTATTGCGTTTTTTCCCGGGTGTACAGAGTTTTTAATCCGGAGTTTGTTTGCCGGGTTTTCTAATTCGTTTAATAGTTTTTTCGGCACGTTCTGTTGTCTTTTCTATTAGCACTAATAACTTCTTGTCCTTACATTCGTTGTCACAACAGTCGATCACCCGTCTAATTAAATCCCTCCTCTCCACTATATGTATAGTAGCACCTCGTTTTCTTAAATCCATAGCTGCAAGGACCGTCCAAAACAAAACAGAACTCAATACGCAAACATAAGAGACTGCACTGAATCAAATGACGTGACCACATGATGATAACCACTTACCAAAACAAAGATATGAGTAATTATGTTTACAACAGTTGTTTACAGCCAGACATCGAGGCGAGGCGCCCAGATGCTTAGCGCCTGCAAATAGTGTGTGATACCCTCCAAACATAGCTGGGTATCGCTCTGGCTCAAGGGACTTCTTTACTCTCACCGACAGTATTATTGACGCTACTACTATTCTTAATGAATGTGTAAATAAAGATTAATTGTCTATTGTCTACTGCTACGCTGTTTTAGGACAGAATATTGTTGATAAAAACGTTAGATGATGCAAAAAAAAGTATAAAATAATAGTAGCTTACTTATTGATGAACAGTTGTAAAATCACGTAAAATACATGTTTGAAAATCACGATAAAGATAACACTGTCACTATTTGTTCAATGATTCAATGTGAATGAACAGAATGTTGGAGTTGAAAGTTTTTTTAACACGTCGTTTGGCTATTTTTTGAAAGCTTTATAAATTTTGTAGCGTTCTAGAACGTTCATCACAGGGCCTTTATCGCATTTATGTAAAATTTCTAATCCTCCATTCGTAACTTTATATGGAATGGTTTTCTTTTTGCAGGTGTTCGGCAATCTTAGAACGCTGTGAATGCAATTTAGGTTTAGGGAGATTTTCGTTAAACCTTTTTCTAAATTAACGGCCTGTTTGCCCTATGTACATACTTGGGCAATCATTGCAGTTTATTTTATAAACATCCGTGTCATCCAAGTTGTTACCAATATTAATACGCCGATTCGTGTTCAAATGACGTTCTATCGCTTGAGGTTTTGAATGCCAGGGTGATATTTTGTTTCCTAAGTTCATTTTTAATATTGAAGTGGAGGACATTGCCGTATTCAATTGATACGAACTTTTGACCGGACTTGTCAGTTTCTTGTTTAACGGTTCTGGATTTCTGTTTACTGATTAGTTTATCTATGATAGTACTTGGATAACCATTTTTCACTGCAATGTATTTAAAAATAAAATATTAATTTTATTTTTTTTATTTTACTGTTTATTCTTATTTTTTGCTTTAAAATCCTCATCCTGGTTAGCAAATAACTATGGGAACAACTGAGTTATATGTGATAAAAATTGGTTTTTCCCATTTTTTACCCTAAAAACATAAAATTTTGCAATATCCTACCCTTCTGAACTATTTTGTAGTCTAAAAGTATGTAATTTAGTACTGTATATGATTATTTCCAGGATTTTCAAATTAGTTCTTGACCTACCAATTGAAAATTTACGTTTCAAAATATTTTACAGATGCCACAGAAGCCATTAAACGACAAGGTGAACTTGGTACACAGTGTGGATACCAACGTAGGAACAAAGAGCTACTCAACTGGGCGCGCAAGAAGCGGAGACACATCCGACGGGAGGAGTTGATATCTTATCTGGCAGGAAAACCACTCCCTCCACGTACAACATGCTCTCATCATGCTCACCACAGGTAGGTCCCTGGGGAATTTCTACATCGGTTCTGTGGTTTCACATTTCATGTTTAATCACGTTTTACCTACAAAGTAATGTAGGAAGTAAGGAACGTTTTTGTCTTGTGCCAATATTCACATGTTGACCGCACACTTTTTGTACAAACGTCTTTGTCAACTCAATTACTATCCGGCAGTCACAGTGGAAGTGTCGTCAGGCTTCCTGTTGTGAGGGTATTAAAGTCAAGAAAAATTGCTGCTGATAGTCCCGCTAGCTGTAAGACAAGGTTTTGGTAGCCAGAATTAAAACCTAAAGGCCTAAACATTTATTGTCAAGTGAGTGAAGTATACATAACAACGTAATAAATTAAAATTCATGTTTCTGGCCCCTCGACTTTACTGTTAAGACAATAATAGTTTTTTACATAGGCCTACCTCCGTCAAATAGTCCAACGATTAATATTGCTCATCAGCTTACATGTTTCGTTGCGAAGACAACATTTTCAAATCTTGCAACTCGTCAAAAACACAATTAAAACACTGACGACACGAACACAAAAAACATTAAAATGGTACAAATACACAATAAACATTTAGATATCCGTATAAATATAATCAGTATTATGATAGCGCTATCTAAATGTTTATTGTGTATTTGTAATGTTTTAATGTTTTTTTGTTTTCGTGTCGTCCGTGTTTTGATTGTGTCTTTGGCAAGTTGCAATATTAGTTGTTGGACTATTTGACGGAGGTATGTAAAAACCTATTATTGTCGTAATAAATAAAATCTATAGCCTATATAAAGATTGTACATTCAGTTTTAAATGGCTGTTGCATATGCCCATGAAGGATTAAAAAAATAAAAGGACTATTTGTTGCAAATGTCACCTTCATTTAATGTGGGTCTAGAAGTCTTGAAGGAAGATCTTGTAGAATGTTGTATGGCTATACTCGTTTCACCTTGTCCCACCACACAGAAATAAGAAACAAAGGATACATTCAATGGTATATTTAAGTAGTGTCTGTGTCTAGTACTCCAGTCACTGGTGTCAAATTCTATTTGTCGTCTCCTTCCGCTCTCCTTTTCCCCCTTGAGACCACGTACATGCTCTCACGCAGTAGGAAGACCCTGTGTGCTACAACTGCTGTATAAATATGCTATGTGGCCATTGCCGTTCTAGAGCTCTTCCTTGTTCGATACTAGTAAATCCCCGCCCCAACATACCAGAGCTATAGACGCTCAAATTCAATTGTACATTTAAGTGGTGTCTAGTACCAGTCAATGGTGTCAAATTCTATTTGTCGTCCCCTTCCGCTCTCCTTTTCCCCCTTGACATCACGTACTTGCACTCACGCAGTAAGAAGACTGTGCTACAACTGCTGTACAAATATGCTATGTGGTCATTGCCGTTCTAGAGCTCTTCCTTGTTCGATACTAGTAAATCCCTGCCCCAACATACCAGAGCTATAGGCGCATAGTTGTCCCATAAACTTGTTTCTTCTGTATCTTACTTCTCTGTGGTCCCACCAAGAAGATATTTCCAATAGAACAAATTTCAGAGTCCAATTTTCACACCCACATTTTAGACAATGATATTGAGTTTGAACATTTGGATGTACTGTATTATAACAATAAGAAAGAAAACAAAAAAAATTATATGAAAAGAAAAAATCAATTAACAAACAATTGATGCTACAAATATGACTAGTTAGGGTGAGGAAGCAATGCTCATCATGATAATCAATGTTTACATTTTTACTCTATTTTTGGCCATTTGGGGTTTGTAGAATAGACTCTTTCTTTCTCTCTTTCTATCACATCAAATGGTCTATCTTTGATTGAACAATCGCCAAACTAAACGTCCAACATTTTGTTTTTGCAAGGCAATAGCCAACCTCACACAAGCTCCATCCATCATTCAAGTTCTCCTACCATCACTCAAATTTGAGATGTTCACTAACCAACCAAACGTCCATATCTTGCTTCAAGTGTCACTCCCTTCGTCCCCAAAATGAAGAGTTGGTTAGCAGCACAGCACTTCACGTGTTACTGAGCGACTGAGGTCACAGAAAGCAAAATTCTTAGACAAAGGAATTTCAAAACACTTCTGCTACAATGATAAGTGCCTCAATTTTTTCTTACAAAGTTGAAAAAGTAGTATTTTATTTGCTCTAAATGTATAATTCAAACAATGGACTGTTAGAAATGTTAAACATCCAAATATTCAGGTGTGTTGGCTTATATGTTCATTTCTTCATATTACTTCATATTTAGAAAAACAAACTATAAAAGGTATAATATTACCTGAGTACTGCCAGAGTGATCCTGTTTGTTCCTTACGGATAACGCGTTTCGAAGACTAAGTCTTCATCATCAGATCTTGTACAAGAACATTAAAACACTGTCACTTCGAAAAGGTCGTCAAGAGTTTACATACAAAACACGGGGAAACATATTATGTACAAACGTGGATGTTTTACGAATAAAAACGAGTAGGCCTACCGACAAAAACTTACAATGTCCGACCGCACAGTTACAGGTGAAGGTCATGACTCTGACCTTCTCCATGGACCTTCATGTCATGACCTTCACCTGTAACTGTGCGGTCGGACATTGTAAGTTTTTGTCGGTAGGCCTACTCGTTTTTATTCGTAAAACATCCACGTTTGTACATAATATGTTTCCGTGTTTTGTATGTAAACTCTTGACGACCTTTTCGAAGTGACAGTGTTTTAATGTTCTTGTACAAGATCTGATGATGAAGACTTAGTCTTAGAAACGCGTTATCCGTAAGGAACAAACAGGATCACTCTGGCAGTACTCAGGTAATTTTATACCTTTTATAGTTTGTTCTGTGATCCAGAGACAAAACAACTCAAAATATGAAGTTAGAAAAACATCTGTTTGTTTTGTGATATTGCTTACCTAGAGTTTGTTCAAGTGTTGGGGTTGTGGTTATATATTCTGGGTGTCCAGCCAACCAGGAAAACCGGGAATTGTATGTAAATTGTGATGACCAGTAAAAAATCTGAATTTACTTGAATTTTGTAAGGAACTGAGAAATAAAATTTTTTAATTTGCCGAAAAAGCCACAGATGTCGCCGCAATCATAAGATGTGAACACAGAAGTGATCGCGATTGTAAGAAATGATCCTGGCCGTGTCCACGATCGCAAGAGATTTTCAGGGCTGTTGCCGCAATCACTAGAATTAATCAGGGCCATCACGGCGATCGTAAGAAATAATCATGGCCGCCGTCGCAGAAGCAAGAAATCATCATCATTTTTGCCGTGATTGCAAGATGATTACAGATGTGGCCTTGATCACGAAAAATAGTTGATGGGTGTTGAAATAATTGCTGGAGATAATCGCAAAGTTAGCAGCAAGTCAAAAGTTATGATCACCAATGTAAATGCGATCGCAGGAAATCATAAAGGAATTCACTACAATCGCTTGAGTGAGCATCATGTTGTTATTCTAACATTAACAGTTGATAACCTTTTGATGCGGGGGGTGAGCTGGTCTAGTAGTAGAGCGCGGGGATTTGGAGCCCGAACCTTTTGATGCGGGGGGTGAGCTGGTCTAGTGGTAGAGCGCGGGGATTTGGAGCCCGATGTCCCGAGTCTAAATCCCATCAATCCCCAATGTATTTTTTTTATTGATGTGATAATGCTGCGACCCTATAGGACTAGCCTGAAGTAATGTGCAAAACAGTTCCGGGCTTGAACCTAGCCGTCCTTATGTGAAGGTATTTAATAATCTTAAAAAATCTCTAGGCCTAGGCCCAGTTTTGTTCAGAGAAAAGGGGGTGGGTTGGTCCTCGATTTTCTGTAGATCGTCCACTGGCCAACAAGGAATTCCAATAACAGGAAATGTTTGGGGTTAATTGAATTATTCTCAAGGACCACTAGGGAGCTTCACTCATTCAGACTCACTTACTGATTACTTAAGACTAGACAATTTGACGTGTCAAATAGTAAGTGTTTGGCGTGAGCGTGTGAAGTTAGGTTAGATTTTAAAGAAATGGCTAATGTTTGGTTTAAACAAGGTAGGAAATGTAAATATAGCGAAAGCACAACAATTAAACTCAGAATACAATATTTAACAAGAGCCTCCAAAAGAAAAGGTCCTTAAAACAACATAGGCTAGTGTTTAAGTTAATTTTAAATCACTTTGTCATTAGACACAGGAGAATCTTAACATATTACATCTCAGAACTATATAGCATAGACGACAACACAACTCAACGCTACTTATAAGAACATTACAAATAGCATAATAAACCGATAAGAAAAAGCTAAATGAAATGAAATACGTTTATTTATCCAAATATTATTACAGAAAGATACAGATAAATAAAAACAGAGAGCAAGAATAACTACAGTAGTACAACTATAATTGTTAAATGAATCTGCCATACTTATGGGATAGGCCTACATGGGCAGGTGCCTGTGCGTAGGCCTGGTTGTTATCAGTCTGCGAAATTTTAAGGGCAAAAACTGAATATGGGAGATTTTTTTTTCTTAATTATTTAAAAGAAAACTGAAATGCGGTTGAGAATGTCGGCGACGACAACCAAAGCCAGTTCAATCAAAAAAAGACATTAGGAAGACATTAGGAGGGTGAGGGGGTCTAAGGGTCAAGGATTTTTAGTCAGAGTCAAGTATGGTTTGGTCTAATCAAAGTCTCGGCCTCTTCTTTGGTAATGGAGTGCAGTAAAACAAGAATATAATTTCTGTAATGAGGGTAAAATGACTTGTTGAATATCATATTTTTGAATTAAATTTCTACAGAGGATCTGAGAAACATAAAAGCAGTTGGTAGTTAGAACAAATATTAGGGATCAGATTGTGGAGATTAGATTGTCCGATAATAGAATTTAAATCCAGGCCTAATTGAGAGGTTGGGTTCTGCTTAGCGAGTACGTCGAATCAGGTCCTTTCACAACACTACTTGGCTGGACTAGCCGGGGTTCCAGTGTGGTTGACTACCGGAGGCTAGCAGGCAGGCCTAGTCTTGGATGAGTCACCATGTCTGGTCCAGTAGGCAAGGACATTTCTCCAGCCATCATTACCCCGTACATATCCCTAGAAAAGGGCCACATGAATAGTAACATTCTTATACTTAATGAAACATAACAGCTATAAACTCAGTTTTGTTGATAGTCAATAAATCACAACGGTAGCAAGGTTACAAAAGTTCATCTTCACTAAGTATCTAGCACCAAATGTGCATAAGCATACTTGGTACCTTATTACTAGGTACCAACCTAACTTTAAACAGTTCACTTGATGACAAGTTTTAGTCTATGTTTTGTGTAAGCTAACTAGAAGGACAAGTCTTAAGATTTCATGTCAGTCGTTGACTGTCCAAATAACAATTTTAATTCAACAACAGGTTTTGTAGTGCAGCAAAAGTTCAGTCTTTCGATATCACAAGAGTTATAAGGCACTAGAGTTTTGAACGGTACGAATGCCCGTCCAAACTGGCCTAACCTAACCTACCAAAATGTGTTCACAGTAAGTTCTTTGTGCACTAGGAATATACATATGAATAGCACCTACTGCATTATATACAACTAGCTGTACCTGCGGGCTTTGCCCCGTTTAACTTCTTAATTTTCAAGATGAGCTCGTTCGCATGGCTCAATCACGTCCTGGTTGAAGTGCTTTCGCTACGCTCACTCACCTTTAGGTTGGAGCTCGTTCGCTACACTCACTCACCTTTTGGTTGCAAATTAGCTGTTGTCATAAATTAAAAAATAATAATAGTGCTGCACCCTGTTGGCAATTCTTGTAACTTTAAAGCTATTGAACATCATAGAACAGAACCAACTTGTTTAATTGAAACAGCTGATAAGATTCATTAATTCCTTTTAAATATGAAAAATCATAAGGTTAACATGGGAAACTCCAGAGCCACTGGGGCGGAGCCCGAGAGTCCGATCAGAATAAAAACAACTTAGTTTTCCTATTTAATGCCTAAAGAATCGGTGTACCAAATTTCAGCCTCCTAGGTAAATGGGAAGTGGGAGAATTAGTGATGAGTGAGTGAGTGAGTGTGTCAGTGAGGGCTTTGCCTTTTATATATTTAGAAGAAGATTCTTTAAAGTAAATCATAAAAACATTTGACAATATGATCATACTTACAACATAGACCCAGCCAAGAAACAAACATTTTACACATAGGCTGTAAACACTTTCAAAAATAACACAGAATAATCCATAGGCCCTATATCTAAACTATTTTACTGACTTTGTAGGCTACTTTACCAAATTTAACATAACTGAACTAATGCCCATCTCAAGTTAAGGCCAAAAAAACAGTTAAAGCGTCTTTAGCCTAGGCTTAAAGACAAAATTACAAACAATAGGCTTGTGACCAAACACGCGTATAAATCCCCAGAATGAACAGGACCACCGTACTTTTAGTCAGGTTAATTATTAACAGCAAGAACAGGTTTTTACAGAAAGTTCTGCATTGTATTTAAACTTGTGCTTTTGGTTTGTCACTACATTTTTTTACTAGAATTTCATATTTTAAATCCCTGACTTTTACTAATATCTGGGGTTAAATTTTTTGGCACCAGTCTCCAATTAAATGGTATTTTTTCTAGTTTATATTCTTAGTTGTATTTGTTTGGTATGGTTTAGTCATCTAAACCTTTTTATCTTTAAAATGTTTAAAAAAAATATTGTTGTTTTTGTTGTCTTGGACAGTGCTGCGGCTAGCATGGACAATATCCTACACATGTTGTAACCGTATGTTTGTGTCGTAGGATGTCTCCTCTGCCTAGACTGGTAGTCAGCAGTCACTCTGGCAACTCTCATCAAGGCATGGTGCAGGACAGTGCTGCGGCTAGCATGGACAATATCCTACACATGTTGTAACCGTATGTTTGTGTCGTAGGATGTCTCCTCTGCCTAGACTGGTAGTCAGCAGTCACTCTGGCAACTCTCATCAAGGCATGGTGCAGGACAGTGCTGCAGCTAGCATGGACGAGAACCTACACATGTTCCGCGAGGCCTTGGCCATCTCAGGTACCGAACAGTTTTGATGTAAGAAAAAGATTGTTTTAAATTTTTTCAACAAAAAAAATGAGTGCCCAATTTTCAATGCAACCATAAAGTAGGGTTTTCATGGCTTCCAGTACACACAGTTAGGCTAAAGGGCGTTAAACAAATTCTTGAAATATAAGGAAACACAATTTTTTTCAAATTCAGTTGTGCTAAAAATAATGTCAGAAACAACTTAAATTAATGATGATTAGTGACATATTTTGCCTTTTTGTATTATTTCACCTGTTTTGGAACCCTCCTGACTATTATTACAAAGTAACGGTATTTGTTGTGTCATTGCGTAAACATGTCTGTGATGTACAATGAGTCTTGATCTACAATGAGTCTGTTTATAGGTGGTGGTTCACGCAGACAACGAGCCGCTGAGCTGAGCGCCTTTGTCGCTGGAGAGTTTGCCCGACACTGTCAAGCTGTCAAGCGGCCAATGCCTTCGCCTCCACCTCACGACGTCAACATGGACAGTCCCACACATCCCAAGAGGCCCCGGTTTATGTAGCCGTAAGTAATCTTTTTACAGCTGCTGGATATCGCCAAACTCCCGGGACAGGTTGTGATATTTTTGTTGGGTTCCGGCCTCGCCAACAGGGTGTCGCCAGTTCTCTCGGTAAGCTTAAACCACATGATGAAATACCAGTCTGGTCTGTATCAGGACAAGATTTAGGCTATTGTCCTGTATATAATTTGACTACAGCAAAAAATTAAGTAAGGATTCTTTCTTAAACAGTGGCACAACCGACCCTTCAAAATTATCCGGAGAAGATTCCTCAATGCTATAGTAAGATTTCCCACCACTTGACCTTGACTTGATTCCCACCACTGACTTTTGGTCTTCCTACTGGTCTCCTTCCTTCAGATCTCCCCTGTGTACCTTTTTTTAACAAGCTCTCCTCATTTCTTCTCAAGATATGGCCAACCCATCTCAACCTTCTGCTTTTGGCCTCTCCTACACTATCGGGGTCTCGGAATGATTCTCTTACCTCTTTGTTGTGGTGGGCTCTCCATACTCCATCTTTACACACTGGACCATATATAGCTCATAGAACTTTAATCTCAAATGTTATAATCTTCTTTTCCGTGTTTTTTGCTCAGGATCCAATTTTCCCCTCCATATAAGAGTGCAGGTCTAATTATTGTTTTATTGTAGATTCTAATTTTTGTTTTCTTAATTTTGCTAATCCAACTAATTTATTTCCCAACAATGAATAGGATTTTTGTAGTATTATAGCATTTTATTAATCAATATGTATAAGAAATGTATATCCCAAGTTGAAAAAATAAAACACTTTATAGTTTATACTGAACAGAAAATATCATAAGAGAAGACTGAGTTGGAGGATAAGATGCCAAAAGAATTTCTGGTCCAAGGTTCATTCCAAGCGTTCCCAATCATTTCCGATGTTTCTTTCTTGAGAAGTTTATATTTTCACAGTTGGTGAAGGAGATAGCTGATTGAAGAACTGGGCGAAAGGAAATGAATTTCGCTCATATTATTTGAGTACAATTATTTAGTCAGACTACAGTATTTATTTTTATTAAGTTAGACGATTTATTTTTATTAACTTGTTGATACACAGCTACGGATAGGAAGGGAACTAATACTGACACACCAGCCCAAACAATCCTAACATATATACTACAGTTCACTACTATAGTAACCTCTTCATAATAAATTGGCATAATGTGTTACAAACTATTGTCACAATCTTCGAGGTTTAATTTTGAGCTGTTTCGTAACAATCTACAACTAAGTGAATATTTGTCTTGCACAGTTGTCAAGTGCTGTGTTGGCCGAAGCACAGTTAGTACAAGAAGCATTGGTATTTTATGAGCCTTAAACAATATGAAACACCACAATATTTTGGTGAGTTGGTGGTTCAGTTGATAGCACAGAGGACTATGAAACCAACACAGTAATAACTACGCCATCTTACTCTTTTAGTGTTGTGACAAAACGACCATTTCTAACATGATAACCGTTTGTTTCAGTCAACCGTTCTGAGTCCACCTTCCCATGCCTGTATATACCGACCTCTCGCTACAAAGGCGTCTACATAGTAAGGCGTTTCGCTAGCTGTACATTCTCCGTCTCGCTATATAGTAAGGCATCACGCTAGCTGTACAGACGTACGTACTTCCGATTGTTAATGTTCATATTGTAAATAGGCCGCGTGTTTCTTAAACATAAACGAGTGTAACTTAATTTCTGTAGGAAAAGATTGTAAGTTCGGTTTGACTGGATAGTTTGCACGTAGACTGTTGTGATTATCGATTTTATTTAACATTTATTTATCGATTATTGACTTATTTATATACTGATATTGATTTATTTTTATCATCGATTCTATTTATTCCCTGCACACTACGAATCCGCACAATAATTTATCTTAGGAGTTTTCCCCAATACTCATTATACCTAAAATGTTTGCCATCTGTTTTGCCAATTCAAATTGAATTTGTTTATTTAGCGTTTAGAACGTTTTGTTCATGTTAAACATGACTTGGTCTCTTTTTTTAAGTTTTCTCCTCGTGATGAGTTTATGCCGTGTGATTTATAATCAACAATAAAGGTATTTTCCTTTTTCTAAGATCTTACCAAAGTATGAGATATGGCTATATTCTCAAGTTTCAGATTTAGGATTTGGTTTCGTTAGAGTTACAAGCTGTTTCCCGTTTATTACCAATTGACTGAGTGGCTTATATAATGTTTTTTTTTCTTATAAATGATCGGCTGCGTCTGGTACTAATTTATGGGATGTCAAATGCAGTAGCCTATCTAACAGTACGTGGTATTAGCCCGTGAATATTATAGATTATTAGCAACACACTAATTTTACCCAACAGTTATATTTAAAATCCACAATTGATGTTTTTTCCTTAATTTAGCACCAACAAACTTATCTACAAAATATATTTTACATTACAAGGCTCTAAACACTTGACAATTAGGGTAGTTAAATGATGCTTTAACCAGTTGTGTTTCGTTGGAATATACATTTTAATGGAACTGAAAAAGCTCTATTCTCAGTTTTTAATTCTTTTTCATGTTATCTTACCAAAGTTTGAAACTGTTTTATACTAATGCTATTATGCATTTATAATTTAATTTTGGTTCAGTTATTCCCAAACTTAAAAGTAGTTTGGTACATTGAGGAAATGTTTAGGACAATTGAGAAAAGAATTGTGGTTTGATCCTGATATCCTGATATACCGTAAAGTGATAAAAAAAAATATCTCTCATCTTTTACTTGCTGAAACTGATGAATAAATTTTACATGTGGCTCTCTATTTTTACAAGTTAAATTGTTAAAAGTTTCAATATCAATAAACGCGCAACTCATCTTTGATTACAAAAATATTGTGTTTGTTTATACTTATGATCATTAAATATTTTTAATGCGTTTGTAAAGTTACCAAACAAAGGTTTTATTTATTTTAGCAAGGAATGGAGCTATTGGATTTTTAAGTCAAAGATTTTTTCTTCTATTGTTATTACATTAATTTATTTAGGAAAAATATTAATATACATTACCATGAATCATCAAGATAATGTTCACAATTATTGAGCATATTTTCTTGTTTCATGTAGGCTAAACCGGTTCGTTCCAGGAACGAGTCTTTCGCACGTTTTTGAATGAGCTAGACTTAAAACTTTATTTTAATTTATTATTTGAATACATAATTCTAGTTTTATTTTGACGGCGCTCAATAATGTACATAATATTTAATATATTGTATCTACTATAGTTTCTTTACTGTAATAAGAATATAGAACCATCATAGACTTGAAATTGTATTTTCTTCTTTGGTTGTTATTTACAGTTTAGTCGTTATGTTTTCATTGCTTATAATGTTTTTTCCTTCTAATTAAATTGTATATGTTAATTATCAACTTGAGTCTTTAATGTTATCCCTTACCCATACTCTTTATGCTGTATTATTTAGGTTCCTTGCCTTTTTCTGGAGATACTAAAAAATCACATGAATTTGTTTAAACAAACATACAGTAATATTTTGCGGAAGAAATTTTGTTTATAGATATTTACAGATAACCTTTAAACAAAAGTTTGCATATTATTAATCATGTTGCATTAACTCTTGTTTTCTGTATTACAACAGGGTGTCTAGTAGTCGGGAAAATCGGGAAAGTCGGGAATTAGTATTGAATTTCAAAATGGTCTTGAAAGTCGGGATTTAGTCTTAAATTTGATTTCAAAGTCGGGAATTTTCATGATTTTGCCGCGATCGTCGTCTTGCGTTTACGTAACCGCAAAAGCCAAGGATGATGTCTACACGGCCTCGGGAAATGTTCACGATTTTGCCGCGATATTGGACGACGACGATGACGTATCCGTGATCGCGGTAGACGACGATGACGTTTCCGTGACCGCGGTAGACGACGATGACGTTTCCGTGACCGCGGTAGACGACGATGACGTTTCCGTGACCGCGGGAGATGACGATGATGTCTACACGGCCACGGGAAATGTTCATGATTTTGCCGTGATCGCGGACGATGACGATAACATTTCCGTGCCCGCGGGAGATGACGGTGATGTCTAAACAGCCGCGGGAAATGTTCACGATTTTGCCGTGATCGCAGACGACAACGATGACGTTTTCGTGACCGCGGGAGATGACGATGACGTTTCCGTGACCGCGGGAGACGACGATGCCGCGGAACATCTGACGTTTCTCAGACAGCGGGAGACGACGATGATGTCATTGATGTCTACACGGCCGCGGGAAATGTTCATGATTTTGCCGTGATCGCGGACGATGACGATAACGTTTCCGTGACCGCAGGAGATGACGGTGACGTTTCCGTGACCGCGGGAGACGACGATGATGTCTACACGGCCGCGGGAAATGTTCATGATTTTGCCGCGATCGCGGACGACGACGATCACGTTTCCGTGAACGAGGGAGATGACGATGATGTTTCCGTGACCGCGGGAGACGACGATGATATCTGCTCGGCCGCGGGAGATGACGATGACGTTTCCGTGACCGCGGGAGACGACGATGACGATTCCGTGACCGCGGGAAATGTTCATGAGTTTGTCGCGATCGCGGACGACGACGATGACGTTTCCGTGACAGCGGGAGATGACGATGACGTTTCCGTGACCGCGGGAGATGACGATGATGTCTACACGGCCGCGGGAAATGTTCATGATTTTGCCGCGATCGCGGGAGATGACGATGACGTTTCCGTGACCGCGGGAGACGACGATGACGATTCCGTGAAATGTTCATGAGTTTGTCGCGATCGCGGACGACGACGATGACTTTTCCGTGACCGCGGGAGATGACGATGACGTTTCCGTGACCACGGGAGATGACGATGACGTTTCCGTGACCGCGGGAGACGACAGTGACGTTTCCGTTACCGCGGGAGACGACGATGATGTCTACACGGCCGCGGGAAATGTTCATGGTTTTGCCGCGATCGCGGACGATGATGATGACGTTTCTGAGACAGCGGGAGACGACGATGATGTCATTGATGTCTACAAGGCCGCGGGAAATGTTCATGATTTTGCCGTGATCGCGGACGACGACGATCACGTTTCTGTAACCGCTGCAGGAATTGATGATGTCTAAACGTACGGTACGTGGAAGATTTCATGATAAAAAAAAAACAAATTTGCTAGTTAGAATTTTTTATTGCTGCATTATTTCTTTACTTGAAAACATAACATTATCATAATACTACTTTATGACAAAGACAGGGGTTGGTGTAGTACAGGGTGTTTTTAAAAGAATGCCGGGATTTCAAATGGTAATTGCTTGGATACTATTCAAGGTAACTAAACGTTTTATACGTCAAATTGAAGCTAAAATAACTAAGTTTTGTTTCCCGCGCAGCAAGGGAGGAAACTTTGACCTTGGTATGTGTAAAACAGTTTCGGCGTGATAGGCCGCTATTGTGACTCATATGCCTGACGCGAGTTGCCAGTGCGACGTTTACGGCGCAACAGAAGGCACAGATTATAATCTGTAGTTCGCAGAGGTTATATCCATTGCAAAATTAAAGTAAATTTAAATCTACTTGATGATAAAGAAACTTGAAGCTAGTTTAATGAGTTTTGTGGCACCGAAGTGTTTTGAAAAGACATTCACTAGGCCGGCTAAAAACAAACGATGACATAGTCGAAGAAATCCGACATTTCTGCATCATAAGCCCGAAAAATCGATTGCCCGACGAAGTATTCAGTTTAAAAGACCTAAATTGGTCACTTTATGTTGTTATCTATAAAAGATAGAGTCTTTGTGCCGAAAAAGATTTAGTTAAGACATCAGATAAAGTTGCCGATCGCCCTAAGCGTACACACTTTGCCAGTTTTACGCTCATATAATATTGATGAAAATCTGAATGTTACTAAATCATTCCGAATTGTATGAATGAATGAGAAAAAAACTTTATTCTTTCCCCTTCAATTTGACGTTTTAATCGTTTAATTATCTTGAATAGTCCCTTAGCAACGACCGTTTGAAATCCCGGCATTCTTTTAAAAACACCCTGTATTATTCAGAAAATTTTGTTAAGCTATAAAAATTGGTATCGGTATCAAGAAACGAGAATCGATACATTTTGGTATCAACACGCACTAATTGTTGAAAAAACTAGTCTTGAAAAATCTGGAATTAGTCTTGAAAAGTCTGGAATTAGTCTTGAATTTTATAATGGAAATAAACTAGACACCCTGTACAAGAAGACAGAAAGGGATTTACAGATACCTTGATATTAACAAAATGCATACTGTATTAATCATTGGTGTGAGACTTAAGTGACCCTTGATTTGTGTGAAGTGTTTCCTTTTAAATTATTGTTAATAGTGCCTAGCAGCAATTTTAATCCCCAAATGTTAACTTACTCATTGACTTACTATTACAAGCTAATGAGACCGTTTATGAGCTCAATAGAGTGATGCAAGTATCATGGTAAGGTGTTCAAAGAAAGCATGGGAATACATGGGCAGGTATGATTTGAGACTCTTAGATTGAATGATGAAATATTCCTAGATTTTCTTTGGCCCAAGTTGTTGGTTCCCTGAAAAAGGGCAGAAATCATATTCCAGCATAATTGCGCTCTACCACTTTTCAACAAGGATGTCCTGTTGTGGTTTACCCAAAACAAGCCTGCGTCACAGCTAAGTAAGGTACAGAAACCTCGCTTGGGGCTGTGCGCTTTCAGCTCTAGAATGTGGTGCCGGAAATATACTTGTGACAAACAAAGCAAGAGCCCGAGCGGCGAGCACTGTACAAAAATTAATATTGTATAAGGCAAGAAGGTCTTCGTCCTCTGTGAGCATTGTAGTACACGAGGGTGAGGACGGTTTTCGATTTTGCTCTAGGCACCACTTGTGTGTACTATTGAACTTTGACTTTGTGTCTGTATCTTACTTTTCTGTGCCTACGTGGATTGGACGTGGAGGAAGCGTGCCATGTCCTCAACTATTCTTGTTTTAATATATATTAAAACTGAAGTTAACTGTTGGCACTTAAAAGTTGGGGAGTGAGCTTGACAGGACATCAGTTCCCGAACTCCGGGGTTCAAATCCCCACCAATTTTATCAAAGCCATAATGTCTCAACCCTCTAGGATTGACTAATGTGACTAAAGTAAAGTGTAGAACGGTTCTGGGTTGGCCTTTCACTACATCTGCTCGACCTGTCCTATCTAGCTAAATTTTAGGTGTGTGTTCAGGTTATTATCTTACTGTATTACCAAATAAAAAAATTACAAAAAACTTATTGAAAAAAATAAAAAGTAAGGTCCTTTTAAAGTCACTAAAAAACTTGATTTGGTAAATGTGAAGTCTTAGAACACTATAAATTACACAAATCACCATCAGTCGTCTGCACTTAAAATAGTAAGCTGTCCAAACTTTCCTAAGTCACAAATGTCGCAGTTACACTTAAATCAGAGCAGAACCCTATGGTAGGTTAGGCTCATTCTTAGCTTTGCCATTGTTGTCTAATTTTATCCTTCCATTCTCGTTCCATCTCGCCTGTTTGGTATTCTAGTACATTTCAGCAGCCTGTAAGAAAATTTCCGATTGAGGTTTTATGTTTTTAATTTAGCAAATTGTATCAAGCATAACTAGTGAACACATGCTTTATCTTTACTAGACAGGACACTAGTCAGTAAATAAGTAAAAAATTGACTTAATGTTGGAAAATAGTATCTTAAAAATAGTAACCAAACATATTTGTTTGGTTGGTTCAATTTAGTGTGATTATTTAGTTAGGTAGTCAAATCATAGAATTGAGGAATTTGAAACACTTTTGGATGACAACTTTTCAGTTTAGATTAGTTTTGTGGTTGTAAATATTTAACCATCATACTCTCTGAATGTTGAATTAAATAAATACTAGAGGTATTCCAGTAGTTGAAAACTCTACCGAAAATATGTAATCCACAGACTTCTCCATTTTCACCCCACGCTGTAAAATGAAAAACATGTGATTGGAATTTCTTCTGTTTTGTTTTGATTTTGTGTTTATATTTCGTCACCAGCATAGCAACCCATAAAGCCCATGTTATTAACAAAAATTTAAATTCATTTTTGGTGCTTATTTTTTAGCTGATTTTCCTTCATTATGTGTAAACACCTACATTTAAGTAATCCAATTTGATGCTTAATGTTGCAACTAATTTCAACTCTGTGTAGTCATCTTCAGGCATACATGGATAAACCATGTCACTTCATTTGAAGGTCTTCATTGTTTTTTAAAATGAAAAAAACCTTTAACACGAACATTGAATGGACACTAACGTTTAACATTAAGCAACACTAAAACTTACTGAGATGGTGAGCAACGTGTACCGGGTGGATGTGAGGTCTAGCCACATACCACATTCCATTTGACTTCAATGTACTCC